ATGGAATGGCAGAGTTGGGCAGAAAAGTCTCTTTCTTGCTGAAATGCACAAAGACCTTTTCCCAGCTTAGATAAATTAGGATGTTGTGAATAATGTCATAGTGTTGTGTAAACACAGCACTCTTTCTTTCCTGAGTTCTGGATGTGTCTGGATGAGATGTGTGGGTCCTGTGTCCTTTGCTCTCTTGACACTGTGTCTGTCTGTGCATCATTAGTGCTGCCTGATGAATTAGAGATTTGCTCCCATTCTGCCATTGCTATGCAGGCCATTCCAACCCAGCAGGCAAGGAGGGTATTTTGACCCTTTCAGTACATCAGTCTCATCTTCTGTGTTGCAGAATAGAGCAGCAAAATGCACAATAAGGTCTTCCTTTGGCCTATAGGAGGGGGTGGGTGTTCTGTCTCCTTGCAACACAGCAGCACAAAGAGTGTTGGGATAGACTGTAACTGTACAGAGTTGTGAAAACATATTTGTTGTGTTTGAGGTGCATTGCATGAAAACTCCACATGTCCTTCAAAGAACATTTTCTGAAGGCAGAATCAAAATGAACTGGCGGAAAGGACATTGAATTTGGTCTCCTCCTTGTTATTCCTGAATCCGGAGGCTTCTTAATGGAGTGGAAAGATATCCTCTCATGACCTTCCAGTTTTATGTGAGCACATTTGCATTCTCTGTTGACCTTTTCCCTTCTAGTCCCACAAGTGTGTTTGAGCATTTACTTGCCTATTCCTTTTAAGAAGGACTGTCATGCCATCTCTAATAACTCATTTTCTGAATGATGTCTGTGAGGAATGGAATATTCAGAAAGCCTCCCGCTGTGTTGTGCTGAAGTTATAAACTGTACCATTGTAAACTGGGATACCCCTGAGTGTAGAAACTGAAATAATGTGTAAAAGTGAAATAAAGAGAGTACCTTAATTCCTTGCGTGGAGAGAGAAGTCTTTGTAGAAAAGTTCTTTCAAGGAAAGCTTTGCCAAGTTTTTTCAAAAGTCTGGAAATTTTTTTCTCAGTGTGTCCTTTCAGTGAGGTAATGTTTGGCGGGTACATGTGTTGAGTTTGGAGATACAAGTAATAGAGTGTTCAGTGCCGTGCCCATGCCCTGCCACCACAGCCCTGGGCCATGGCTGGGGGCCCCAGTGAGGAACAGGTTTTCCCTTGTGTCCCTGTCCCCACAGAGGACGTGACACCGGNACATAAGACTGTAGACTCTTCTGTAACACAATGGCACAGTTGGGCACACACATCTCATCCTCGCTGTAATGTACAAAAGCCTTTTCCCAGCTCAGGAAAGTTGTGAATGCAGTGTCACAATGTCGTGTGATCACAGGGCTCTTTCTTTCCTGAGTTCTTAATGTCTCTGGCTGAGATACCAGCCTGTGGGAATGGTTCCTCCCGAGGAAATCTGTATTTGCAATTGGTATAACCAAATTCCGGTAAATTGTAAGTCAGGGAATGCTTGTGTTCCTCTAAAAACCAAGAAGCAAACAGAATAAAGGGAACAAAATCTCTTTCAGTCAGACAGTAGTAGATTTCAGACCTGATTCAGCCATTTCTGAGAGGCTTTGAGAATGGGGTTACCACTCCCAGCCAAGCTCTTGTCTCTTTTGCTGTCATACAAGACAGTAGACCTCTTTTGTAACAGAATGGAACAGCTGGGCAGAGAAATCTCATTCTCACTGATATTCACAAAGGACTTTTCCCAGCTCAGATAAATTAGGATGTTGTGAGTATTGTCCTAGTGTTGTGTAAGCACAGTACTCTTTCTTTCCTGGGTTCTGGATGTGTCTAGATGAGATGTGTGGGCCCTGTGTCCTTTGCTCTCTTGACACTGTGTCTGTCTGTACATCCCTAGTGCTACCTGATGAATTAGGGATTTGCTCCCATTCAGCCATTGCTATGCAGGCCATTCCATTCTTGTGTTCCTCTAAAACCCAAGAAAGAAACAGAATGAAGGGAGCCAGAGCTCTTTCACTCAGACATTCATATGTTTCAGGTCTTTTAAGGCCATTCCTGAGAGGCTTTAAGAATGGGGTTAGCAGTCCTAGCTAAGTTCTTGTCTCTCCTGCTATCAGACAAGACAGTGAACCTTTAATTCTGTTCTATAACAGTATGGCACAGAAAATGAGACAGACAAACCTCATCCTTGCTGAAATTCACAGTGACCTTTCCCAGCTCAGGTCAGTGCTGGGAAGTTGTC